ACGTAAGTAGGAGATCGATGAGGCAGGAGGATTCATAGTAAGAAGAAATGGAGAAAGCAAATGAGATGTCCCGCACGACTGTGCAAAGCCAACAACCGCAAACATGCTGGAATCGATTGGAATGACAGACATCGTTGGCCTCGGAGATGAAGTTCGGGATTCTATAACGGATTGAAATTGAGAGTATCCATCACCGATCACTCAGCACGTAGATAGTAATGTCGACAAAAAATGGGCACGGTAGTCGAAACCAGTGTCGCGGACTCACGTGACGCCATGAATATGCGCATGCGTGCAGTCACGGCCCCTCATCGTGTCTCCGAGATGTCGAAACACCAGCTCCTAGGTGTCTCCTGAGTATCATGCATATCCCCGCGTCTCTGAGTACATGCCCTATTTTCAGATCTTTGGGTCATTTTAATACTCAATGATTTTTGATCAGCATACGGTCACGACCGGAAGCTGCTTCAGCGATGACTGGCCTATCCCGTCATGCTGCAGTGACTCCACCATTTCGGTCTCCGAGCAAGAGGGCGCCTTCAAGATCAAGCCGACCGTCGCATGCATGCCTCGGCAATCAGACATGCACACTTCGAATGCGGGGGCGTTTGTATTGGTACAAGGAGTGGTAGTTGGTGTAGACCACCACGTTCTCCCTAAGAGTGTCGCCCCTTACCTCCGCATCACCAGGCAGGGATTTGTACCTCTTCAAATACTCCCACCGGACGTAACTGTTGATCATAAGTTCCTCGATAAACTCGTTGACGTGTCTAAATCATGTGGGCTCACTATCAAGGAAGCATCACCCCTCAGCTGTCCACGGCTAGTATATCCCAAGCTTGGTAATCGAGGCCGCGCGCAACTCCGGGGAATGATAGCCGCTGCTGCGAGGGGATACTCTCAAGAGTGGAAGCTGTCAAGAGGGATCGGAGGTTTGAAGACGGCCAGGGTCAAGGATCTCATACGCATGGCTGATGTACTCGGTCTGAGTGAGTATATAGACGCGATTGCATTATCGTAGCGTCATGTATCATAGTTCTACTAGAACTAATAGTAGATAGGTCGGAGAAACGTAGACTCTGTGAAGATATTATATTTGGTGTCTTGGGTGATACTACTACTAGTACTTTCAATTTTTGCGTTGTCGTCGAGTGTGTACTAATCTGGCCCCTACTTCTGTAGCGCCACATTCGTCACCAGCGACTTCGTCCATAATTGCCTATTATTCATCGTCGTTTATTATTGCCAATTATTTATTTGCTTGGTAGAAGCTGTGAAGTATTTTCAGCTGAGTAATGTATCGAGTTCAGTTGGTCGATCACAGCGCGAACTCGTCATCAGAATCCGAACCAGACACATTGGCTCCTTGTGCGGGAGGGGGAGGGCGCCTCAGTCTAACACTACTGACGGAAATCTACAGAGCTTACTCAAAGGATAGACAGATTCCATCTAATAGAGCACAATAAGTGGGGGCCGCCCTGTATACCTCTTTCTCTGGTTATTGGTCGCTACCCACCGAGGTTACCCATGCCAACGAGGATTGCTACCTCAACATACTGAAAACGAGTATGAGAAGTGCCACTGTGCTTTTGTAGTCTTCCCTAGGGACGGAGGCACAGGCCTCCAATTGTCAGTATTAGCTTGGCCACGGAGCTTTGTCCTTGCCCCACGCTATAGACCGACCTAGGAAGAGGAGCAGCGGTATTGTCATTATATAACCCTCGCCGTTGACCCTCGCCACACTACACTCGTTTGGGATATGTCCTGTTCAAGGACGTACTAGACACCACCAACAGCAGCGTTACAGAGAGCTCTAGTGTGAGAGTCGGCAGGGCTAAGGGTGAATGTACATGACATGCCTCGAACAGGTCCGGACAATTGCCCACTTTTCGCAGTTGCTTTAGAAGCTATGCGATTAACACTATATCCCACGTCCCCTAAGCTGTTTCCTGATGCCCTTACAACCAAGGCTTTCTATGTCCTGCTGATTCATGAATTCCTCATACAGCTCCAGTTGCCTAGTTTCATAAGCAGCGATAACCGATATCAGTCCGATATGTTACTTACCTTCAATATACCTTCACCCTAACGACGTTCTTCTACTTTTTCGGCACTTGTTTATCAGCTAGATGTTTGAGTGCCTAGAGTGTGACGATCTGATGATCTTGCAAGCAGAGGTTATAACTTCGCCAGAAATAATGAGACCAGATATCCAGTTCTTGAATTCGAGCTCTCACTTGAGAAGAACGCATGTTGGTATGACTGCCCAACGACGAATTGCTGTGGAGCGAGAAACGCGGATCATGAACGAGAGCGTGCGGGATTCACATAACCCAGGCGACCAACATACGTGTAATCAATCAAAACTTGATTGCCACCACTTTCCGAGATTTCACCACACCGCATGGTTACCCTATCTCGGAATAATACTCTGCGACTTAACTACGGCTTTCAATACTTCTCTACATCTCTTGATAGTGTACACTGCAGCTATCAAGGCATCGAAAGCTCTACACAGATACTCATCTAGAGATATCTTTCGTATATCCCAAAAGTATTAGTTGTTACCATCACTTCGAACATGAGGTACTGCAGAGCACTGTGTTGAGCGAGCAGCCCTACTCACTACTAGGAACACTACACCATTTTATTCCAGTGGAAATGATATCCGCTCACCACGCAATTAGGTTCATCGATACCAGCAATTTGGTAATAGGATTGGACACCGTTTACTTCTTGCTGACCTTGGCCTTCTTGTCGGACTTCTGAGCAGCCTTACGGGCCTTCTCAGCGAGAGCGGCAGTGACGAGCTTCTGCTCCTCGAGGAGGAAAGCACGAATGATACGCTGCCTCACGCACTTGCCACAGATGGAGCCACCATAGGCACGAGAAACGTGACGTTCACGCTGCTTCAGCTGAGAGTACTTGAAGGGTCTAAGGCACTTGACCTGAAGAAACAACAATTAATGGCTAAGATTGATAGGAAAATTGAGTTGGAAACGAATGCATGTCGAGCTGCACTCCCAAGAACGACAACTGGAAGCCAATACTGCAACCCTCTATTACACCATTGATCTTGCCCTTGCAGTCTCCACAACGGGGACCAGTAGCGGTCTTGGTAATCTTATGGTAGACCAAGTTTCCACCAGGGGTCTTGACAAGCTTCTGCTTGTTAGACTTGGTGTTGAAGTTGACCTTGCGGCGGTATGTAAGGCGTTGAACCATCTAACAATAACAACAACGTAGTCACCAATACGACCGAAATTAATCAAGGAATAACATACGAGCCACGAGCGCCAGTCAACGAGTGTCTTATCGTGTACTCATATGCTATCGTCACACCAGCCTGTATTCCCACCATACTACCTTCGATGCGGGACGTTTCCACCTAGAGTGCACCAGAGGCCTACCAACCGTCCAAATCGATTAATTCGCCAAGAGAGCTACCAATGCTAAGGAAGTGCAAGACGTGCAAGTGATTCTATCTCACTAGAAATTCTAGAAATCTAGAAAACTGTATGTCCCCATGGTATTTGAGGGGGTTGGTGAATCTTATAAGGTGTAAGCTCCATCATTCGGTATAGTATCGACCCTACCACCATCTCGCTTGGATTATATCCATTGGTGAGTCTATTATGATGATCATCGTCACCCTCGTGTCCTTATGGGTAGACCCTACCACACTGAACGCAATCCTAATTCAATGGTAGATATATACACAGATGTACTATTGAACAGAGAAGTATCACGGGGTCAATCAGGGAGATTATGGATATGGACGTCGATTGGTACGACACCCTTCGTTATCAAGCCCTCTGGCCGATACATCAGTCCGCTACAGTATCCCACCAATCAGCAACTTCAGCGATACCTTTAACACTTCATCCGTTACCTTATGCCAGGTGTAGAGGAGTCGAGCAACGGTGTTCTCATGGTAAACGGCACTTGTGATGCTAGACTAGCCGGATGGCCTATCGGGCAGGTCGTAGGAGACCTCAAGAGAGGATTAGGCGATCATATCTAACAATGAATCGATACCATCACGCCTCATTACTCTAGATGGCTATCTCAAACAACTCGGTAGACCATGGCCTCGGACCATATGACGGCATCACCCTCCAGTGTGCGAGGCTACCTCCTATGATAGGAGTCCTATCGGAAGTACTGTATCCAATGGCCAGCTATGTAGTGAAGTCCCTTTACGGTTGAAGCTGGAGTTCCAGGGTTGTGGAGGAATGAAGCGCGGTTAGAGGGGTTGGCGGCCCTAGAACAATTGGATCTGGACATGGCTATGGATCCAGGTCTTACTGTCCTCTCGGCATTTGAGCGTTCAGAGATTTTGCCTGCTATGATCAGCTAAGTTGGAAAATTACTAAGATCAAGCGATGGAGTACTCACAGACTCTAATATATAACCTGCGAGGTATTCAACGGGCCGGTTGGATCTCATCAGTTCATGGAAGACCTAGACGTATGCTAGTGCCTCTTCAAACTGCTAGTTGTATGCCAATAACGAGGAGACTACCATGCTACGGTTAGTGTGCGCTACAAACTTACCCAAGGTGCACAATGCTAAGTTACGACTAGCTAACGGTATCCTCTTAACAGTAAATTGAATATCAGAACATAAGAAGATATAGGATTGCAGCGTAAGCACTATGACGATAGCTGTAATGCACCGGCATGCATATGGATTGGGCTACTAGACATGGATTCTCAATGGTTAGGATAGCAGCTCGATTAGCTAGGGAACTGAATAGCTATAGGTTCATTCACCGTGACGATCATTGATGAATTACCGATCATGTCATTCTGAATATATACCCTTGTTGCGTTGACTATAATTGAGGGAGATACTAGACGGTGCCAGTGGTATCTGTTGGATGGACCCGTCCCGTGCCGCAGCAGCAGCACAACAGTATGCAGCTCAGCAACAACAGGTACTATGCATACACTAGAGTAACACTCTGCTCCATAGCTGTATGCTTGCCCTCAGGCAGCACATATGGTAGCAGCAGCTCAGCAACAGCAACAACAACAGCAACAAGCCGCGCTGGTAGCCGCAAATAAGTCCCGATTAGCGGCTATACTACAACAGGCTACATCTGGTGGGCAACCATTAACCACTGCTCAGATGCAAGGGTAATACAACATTGTGTAATGTTCATATACCTGTAATATCTCTATTAATAGACTTATCGCGAGGGTACAACAACAAC